GTAGAATATAATCCAAACCCAATAAAAGACCCCATGCAATGAAAAATCCCTATGAGGAGCCCCTTTTGTGAATAATATGGGCTTCTTAATAAAAAGAATGTGGCAAATAAGTCATTTATATCATGTGATTTCGAGTATTTGAATAAGCTCTTACGATGTAAACCATTAAACTATGGAATCATAAATAATATTTTTCAAAGTTATTGCAGTATTATCATCTAAATGGCAAGGGAAAGCTTAGATTTATGTTGAGGCACCATAAACTTTGAACATGAAGGTAACGTGTACTCAAAGCGTTAAACTTATAACACGAAGGTGGCCCGCTATCAAAAACACCATAAACCTCAAACATAAAGGTGGTTTTATAAGCTCACCCATTTTTAGTATCTAGCCACTCTAAAGCTATGGAGTGAAGCTTCCATACATCCACCTTGATCCAAGTTTTCACTTAGTGGCAGGGAAGAGGAGAAAACGCTTGGTCAAAAGTGTTCATTAGAGACATCTAATAAATTAACCAAGCATGATTCTACATTAACTACATAGGATTAAGGATATCAGTCACATAATAAGCCTGTTTGGAGCAGAGATAACATATATCATTTTGAAACCAGGTGATTGATGGTCGAGTGATTCCTCCTCCTAACTCTCTCAAGGTCGAAGTATGCACTCCAAGGAGTGATTAGATTTTTTTTAACTTAGCTATTTGTATTTAGGCCCGCGTGCCCATAATTTGTAACATTCGGACATCGTCGGCTCTAGCGGTCGACATTTATAAATGATTTACTTTGCTTCAATGCCTTTATTTTTTTGTCGATGCTTGCTTATTTTTTGCTCGTCGTTGTTTTTGACTTAATTATCCCATGAATATTTGTAAGTTCCATGTATGGAGATGTATGTTCGACCTTTGGCATGGTCGACGCGGGTTAGTTTTTTTTCATGTGCGGAGATGTATGCTCTACCCTCTTATTGTTCAACACATGTTGGGATGTGTCGAAGAAGCGGAGTAGGGATCCGCAGGACGAGTGTAAGACCGCGGTCAGCATCTTAAACCCATGGCGTGAACTTCCCATCCCGAGCTGGGTGTTCTGCCATGTTGGGTACTTCTACAGTAGAGCTCGATCGATGTGTCCCTGTCGGGCTAGGATCTTGCTCGTTAATGAATAAATCCCTCCTTTAGCTGATGTTTGGAGGCCATATCTGTACCTAGACACGCCTACATGGTCGAGCTCATCCACTCGTCGGTTAGAGGGGACTGGTCAACTGCTAAGTCCTTAGCGGGTAAAAGACTTGGCTATAATATTATTTTAGCTTTGCAACATTCCAGGGTCGAGGTAATGGTTCTCCGTTTAATTGTTCGAGGTAATATGCTACAGTGCGCGTAGCTCCTTGGATGCGGTAAGGCCCCTCCCAGTTTGCGACTAGCTTCCCTTTGCAAGAATCTTTCTAGTTTCTTCGCAAGACTAGGCTGCCGACCTGAAATTATCGCTTTATGACTTTGTTGTCATGGCATAGGACTACCTGCTATTTTAGCATGGCGTCACGAAGAGCTGATCCTGATCAAATTTCTTCGATAAAGTCGAGCTCATTTCTGAGGGCCTCTTCGTTCATCTCCTCGTCGAGGGGATTTTTGGTTCGAATGGACGACTCCATGATTTCCATTGGGATGACAGCCTCAGTGCCGTAGGTTAGTCGAAATGGTGTCTCGCTCGTCGTCGTCCAGTTTCCTCTTCACGGAGTTTATAGTTATATCGTTGACCCCCCGCCAATTATGACCATGGAGGAGGGGAACCTTTCCCACCTACTGTGCATGGACATAGGCTCTTCGATATCGTCGGGGACGTAGAAGTCCTTCGGTCTTGTAACAAAGAATGTTTTCTGGATGGGGACCGTCTCGTCTGATGGTCGGGCATCCTCCTAAATCTCCTTTGTGTCGAGGGCATCTCGACGAGGGGCGTCGCTGCACCGATATTTCCCGAGTCTCCCCCCTTTAATGAGGGTCTCAATAGCATCTTTGAGATGGACACAGTCTTCAATCAGGTGTCCATGACTTCGATGATATTGGCAGTATTTGCTTCAATTAGCCTCAGGCTTAGTAGGAGCAGAGCGAGGACGCATGACGCTGCCGTCCTTGAAATCAGTACTAGCACACTCCGCTAAGATGCGCTCGCAGGAAGTTTTCAGCGGAGTGTACTCAGTAAATCGCCTCGCGGGCCCTCTTTGCTTGCGAGGATCCCGTGGTTTGTCATCCCTCCTCTTTTCGCTTGTTCGTCGAGGAGGACCGGAATCTTGTTGTCGCGGATTGCTGGTTGATCCACGGTTCCTCGAGCCCCCGGGATCTATTGGCCGCTTCCATCTCCTCATAGTCCATATAGGCCCTAACCTTCTCGAGGAGAGCATCAAATGTCTGTGGTGGTTCGATGCCAACAGCTTTTCTGAACTCCGTGCTTGGGAGGAGTCCCCTCTCGAGCAAGTATCTCTTCATATGATCAGTGCAGGGGACCTGGATGGCCTCGCAGTTGAATCGATCAATGAACTCCTTGAGGGTCTCGTCGTTTCTTTGGAAGATGGCCTCAAGGGCTGCCTCAGTCTTCAGATGTTGACGTGAGGCAATGAATGAACTGATGAACTAGTTTTTTAAATTCCTCCAAGAGGTAATTGACCCCAGGGAGAGGCTCTTATACTAGTCCATCGCAGCTTTTCTCAAAGTCGTGGGAAACAACTGGCATTTGATTGGTCCCCTGACGTTATGATAATGCAGCATTGCCTCGAACCCATAGATATGGTCGACTGTATCGACAATGTCGTAGCACTCCTTAAGATGGGGAGGTTTCTCCATACCCGGGGGTGGGTGCCTCCATAATATCTTGTGATAGGGGACCGTGGGGGTCGTCTTCGGAGATCGAGAAGGTGACCTGTTGTAGTGGCGGTCGTGATGATGACCCTGGTTGCACGGAGTATTCCTCAGGAAGTGTGGTCGTTCGTCATTTCCCCTATTCATGTTTCCAGGGGCTCTGCTCTTGATGCGGGGGGACGTGATCTCGTCTCCCCGTATCCACGGGTTGATCCCTCTCCAATGTGGGGCGTCGCTCGATTGGTCGGGGAGAGGGGCTTCGAGAGGCATCCTGTCTGCGTCTCTGCGGGGGAGATTAAGGACGGTCCTCTATCTGAAGAGGAGGAGGAGAATCAGGCCTCCTATGTCTTCTGGGGGCTCTCCGAGAATCTTCGAGCGCCCTTAATCTCTCCTCTTGCGAAAAGATCACGTGGTTTATCTGATTTATTGTCGTGAATAGCGCCTTGGTCATGGAATCAGCACCCGAAGGAATGATGACCTCCTGGAATGCGTGCGGTTGATAGTTCTAGAGAGGATGACTGTCGTCTTTGAATCACCGAGATAGTGATGATGAAGAGGTAGTCAGCTCGTCTATGTACTCCGAGGGGTCGGGCATGCCCCTGGCGCGACTGTTGTTGTTGTTGCTGGTGTTGTTATTGTTACCGGTGTTGAGGCCAGCGGGACCAACGTTGTTGATGTCGGTGTCGTGGTCGACGATGTTGTTGTTGACGTTGGCAAGATGAACATTCAGGTTATTTTCTGCCGTGTGATCAGCCATGACAGTCAGAAAGAGAGTTGGGTTAGCTTTTGTCTTGGGTGAATGAAGACGGGGAAGCAGTGTTTCCCACAGACGACGCCACTGATCGTACCTGACCTGAATGGACCGTCACAACTTACTTCGAGCATAACTTAAGAGTGAGGTGGGAGGGGGGTACCTGCAAGAGACTCCGATGTCAAAATGAGATGTGGAATAAGCTAGCAAACAAGATAGTAAGAAAATATTCAATACTTGACCCTCTCGAAAGAGAGGGTATTTATAGTCCCCAGCGCTGGGCCAAAGTCTCCTCATTAAACTGGTCAAACAGGCTCAAAGTGGAGACTACCAGGTTCTACGTGAGTAGTAGGGACCTGCACGTGGTCCCCCACTTGGATGACTTATTCCGCAAGATCAGGAGGATATGGATGCAGTCTTTTCGGGGCCACGAAGACTTCACGATATTCAGAGACGTTGACAGTCAACCCTACAAGAAAGATGCTCGTGAGGCGCTTCTGCTCGTCATGGATGCTCCCCGCTAGACGTGAGGTCGTGTGAGGGGACCAATCTTAGTCTGGGAGAGGATCAGAGGGTGACCTCGAGGTCCTTCTGACCGACGATGATCTTCCTATGACTGACTGAGTTTATCCTCATGCGGTGAGGTTGCCTCCTCGCGGGATGTGGGAGTTGTTGTCCGACGATCTCGAGAACAGAACTGGTCAGTATACTTTGACCGACATAATTGGATTAGGCTTCTCGTGGAGTTGGGCCAAAGACAGGCCCAGTGCAGAACAATATGTTAAAACATGAAAAAGACATTGGTTCAGTGGTAGAGATAATTGTCTCTTAGTTAAGAGGTCTCTTTTTCAAAACTTAATCAGTGTAAAAAAAATATTATTAATAAATAGATATAAAGATTTTACTACCACTATCTCATAATTTCTATTAAAAATAATATTGAATGTCTTATTTAAATTTCAGTGAGATTTATTAAGATTTTTAAAACTAATTTATATGATTTGTTTGTTTGAATATATTAAATTAAAATCTCTCGAAAAAAAGAATCTAATGCCAATCCATAAAGTACCATGATAAAAAATAAATAAAAAACCCCCACCACAAATATCTTTATTTTTAGTCAAACAAATAACTATTTTTGGAAAATCCACCCTATTTAAGATTCCCAAACTATATACTAAAATCCGTGAAATAAATCAACACCCCATTAATTAAAATTAAATATAAAGATTCCCCAAAAATATATGAATCTTTTTTATGTCTATTAATACCGTCGATAGTGTCCATCATTCGCCGCTATTTCATTCAAGTATAGTATATCCTAATATATACTCCTTTATTCTCATGAATCAATATCAACATTCCTGAGTTACTTCAACTTCATCTCTTCAACCAACCATGGCGATTTTTGATATTCTCTTAGGAACAACCAATGTAGCATTCTTCTATGTTATTTTGATATGGGTTTTAATTGATAGTTTGAAACAAACCAAAAGTAACAACAATGTTTTACCTATAAAACACAAACCAGCGGTTTTTGCTTATATCACTGTTCTTTTCAGTGTTGTTATTTCTATTTTGAACGTAGCTTTTGTTTTCTATGAGTACATTTACACCACTAATGGATTATTCATAGGATTTATTTTTGTTTCTTCAGCTTTAACATGGGTTTTAGCTACTTTGGTTTCGTGGTATTCCATGAAGAAAACACTAAGAGAGAGTAAAAGATTCCCTTTTGTTCTAATTCTTTGGTGGGTTTTTGCCACTGTTGTTGATACAGCTTCATTGTCATTGAACCTTGTTAAAAATTATGAATCTATCAACTTGAGGATTTTGTTGTTGGAGGATAATATGATTGATGCGGTTTCTTTGCCTATGTTGTTAGTTCTGTGTTTCAATGCACTTTCAAATGTGTGTGTAAGGGAACAAAGTGAGATAGAACAAAGGTTACTTCAGAAAGAGTTTGAATCTTGTAATTTGGGGGATGAAGATGAAGGTGAAGAGGCTTTTATGAAAGCTAGTATATGGAGCAAACTTACATTTGGGTGGTTGAATCCTATTTTTGAAAAGGGTCGGATTCAAAAACTTGAACATGTTCATGTTCCTTCTGTTCCTCTCTCTGAAACTGCTGCTACTGCTTCTTCTATGTTGGAACAATCTATTAGGAAACAGAAACTTCAAGGCGGTTCTTTGACAAAAGCAATTTTCCTTTCTGTTTGGAAATCCTTAGCCTTAAATGCTGTTTTAGCAGGTAAATTACTCTTATGTACTTTATATGCAATATTCATATACTGATTCGTAATTTGTTTATGTTATTTTTATTTACTTTATGTTGATGTGTTGTTCTGTGTCTATGTCTGTGTCTGTGTCTGAAATTCTTATCTGTGTGTATGTGTCAGTGTCTACTGTGCTTACATTTATTTTATTTATTCTTTCAGGTGTTAATACTATTGCCTCTTATATTGGTCCATTATTGATATCGAACTTTGTGAATTTTCTGTTATCAAATAATGATAACTCAAGCACCAAATATGGAATGATTCTTGCCTTCATTTTCTTTCTCTCAAAAACTATTGAGTCACTTAGTCAAAGACAATGGTATTTTGGTGCTCAGAGAATTGGAATTCAGGTACGTGCAGCACTTATGGCATTAGTTTATAGCAAATCACTAATGATTAAATGTGGTGGACCAACACATGGTAAAGTCATCAACTTGATTAATGTGGATGTCGAAAGAATCGGCGACTTTTGTTGGTATGTTCATGGAGTTTGGCTTCTTCCAGTTCAGATTATTTTGGCTTTGGTGATCTTATACATAAATTTGGGTTACACACCTTCTATTGCTGCACTTTCTGTTACTATTTTGGTTATGGTTTGTAACACACCTTTAGCCAATATGCAAGAAGGTCTACACTCTAAGATAATGGAAGCAAAAGATTCAAGAATCAAAATGACTTCAGAGACTATGAAGAACATTCGAATTTTGAAGTTGCATTCGTGGGAATCTACATTTCTGCAGAAACTCTTCCAACTTAGGGATATAGAGAGGAATTGGTTACAGAAATATTTATACTTATGCTCAGCGGTAGCCACTCTATTTTGGGCGTCTCCGACTTTTGTTTCTGTTTTCACTTTCGGCGCTTGTATATTGGTGAAAACTGAACTAACTGCAGCCACGGTTCTCTCGGCTCTAGCGACGTTTCGTATTTTGCAAGAACCAATTTACAATTTGCCTGAACTTATTTCCATGATAACTCAAACAAAAGTTTCGGTTGATCGAATTCAGGAATTCATACAGGAAGAAGATCAAAATCAGTTCATGAATAAGCCACATGCTTCCAAAACTTCAAGACTTGCAATTGAAGTAAAGCCGGGAGAATATGCATGGGAAGAAAATGACCAAATTCTCAAGAAATCGACAATTCATATTGCAGAAAGATTAACTATAAACAAAGGTCAAAAGGTAGCGGTTTGTGGACCGGTAGGGTCTGGAAAATCGAGCTTGCTTTGTTGTATGCTTGGCGAGATTTCATTGGTTTCTGGGTCAGCAACTAAAGTTTATGGGACTAGAAGCTATGTACCGCAAAGTCCATGGATTCAATCTGGAACTATAAGAGAGAATATTTTGTTTGGGAAGGAAATGAATAAAGACTTTTACGACAATGTTGTAGATGGTTGTGCATTGCTCCAGGATATTAACTTATGGAGTGATGGAGATTTGAACATGGTGGAGGAGAGGGGAATAAATTTAAGCGGAGGACAAAAACAGCGTGTTCAGTTGGCAAGGGCTGTTTACAATGACTCGGATGTTTATTTCCTCGATGATCCTTTTAGCGCGGTTGATGCTCATACCGGAAGTCATTTGTTTAAGGTTGGTAGTGTCAATGAGTATTTTTTTTCTTCTTTCATTACATTATAAGAACTTAACTAGAAGTGAAAATTTTGTGCAGGAATGTCTTATGAAACTTTTATACGATAAAACTGTTGTCTATGCTACACATCAACTAGAATTCTTGGAAGCTGCAGATCTTATTCTGGTAAGCTATACCGAACACTTGTGTGCCGTTGTAGAAAATTTCTGTGTTTATTTGATTGAACTCGCTTCTCACACTGATTTATATACGTTTTGTCAGGTTATGAAAGATGGAAAAATAGCGGAGTCTGGAAAGTATAGAGATCTCATCGCGTGTCCGAATAGTGAATTTGTTCAACAAATGGCTGCTCATGAAGAAACAGTAAGCCAAATTCCAAGCCAGAAAGATGATTTTGTTAACAGCAGACCTTGCCAAAAAAATCGAACTGAAATTGCAGAAGATAATATTCAAGAGATTATGATGGATTGGAAGAGAACGAGAGAAGAAGAAGCAATGACTGGTCGAGTAAAATGGAGTGTTTACTCAACTTTTGTCACATTAGCTTATAGAGGAGCACTTGTTCCGGTTATTCTTCTCTGTCAAATTCTCTTTCAAATTATGCAGATGGGAAGCAACTATTGGATGTCATGGGCTACAGAACAAAAGGGAAGAGTAGATAACGCGCAGCTTATGGGAATGTTTGCTCTTCTATCTGGTGGAAGCTCCATCTTCATATTGGGAAGGACTGTTTTAATGGCGAAAATCGCTGTGGAGACTGCTCAGCGCCTTTTTCATGGAATGATCACATCGGTTTTCAGAGCACCTGTTTCGTTTTTTGATACCACACCTTCTAGCCGAATACTGAGTAGGGTAAGATTCACTAGTGTTTTCTATCAGATAAAATTATTGTTGTCGTTTGCATTCAAATTACAGCTACTTTTCTGCGTGATTGTTACAGTCATCTACGGATCAAAGTACAGTAGATACCGACATACCCTACAGATTAGCGGGACTAGTCTTTGCACTTATCCAGTTATTGAGTATCATTGTCCTAATGTCCCAAGCCGCATGGCAAGTCATTCTTCTCTTTTTTGTGGTTCTTGCTATCTCCGTCTGGTATCAGGTACGAATTACCAATTTTCTTATAATAAACGCAACCTACATCCTGTTTTTTCTGTCAAGATTTTACAATGCATGAACAGAAAAGCTCATGGTTTAGTTCAAATGATGATGGGAACTATGTACTTGTTTGCAGGCCTATTACATCACTACGGCTAGGGAATTGGCCAGGATGGTGGGAATTCGAAAGGCGCCAATCTTGCATCACTTCTCAGAATCAATTTCCGGGGCTGCCACAATTCGTTGTTTCAATCAAGAGAAAATATTCTTGACCAAGTCTATGGCTCTAATCGACGATTATTCTCGGGTAGCCTTTCATAACTATGCCACCATGGAATGGTTGTCTGTCAGAATAAACTTTCTCTTTAATTTGGTCTTCTATTTTGTTCTCATCATCTTGGTTAATTTGCCCAGGTCTGCCATCAGTCCCAGTAAGTTCCTTTATCCCGCATTCATCCTATTAGCATCGAGTGTTTTTCATTAGAGATCTTAAACTGTTTCTTCTAATTTTCAGGCATGGCGGGTCTTGTAGCGACTTACGGTTTGAACTTAAATGTGCTACAAGCTTGGGTGATATGGAATCTATGCAATGTCGAGAACAAAATGATTTCTGTAGAGAGAATACTACAATTCTCTAATATACCGAGTGAAGCGCCATTAGTTATTCAAGATAATAGGCCTGAACCAGAGTGGCCTAAGGAAGGAAAAATTGAACTCCATAACCTTCATATACAATATGAACCTGCTGCTCCTATGGTTCTCAAAGGCGTCAATTGCGTCTTCCCTGGACAGAAGAAAATCGGAATAGTAGGTAGGACGGGAAGCGGAAAATCTACTCTGGTGCAAGCTCTATTTCGAGTGGTGGAACCTTTGGAAGGATGCATACTTATTGATGGTGTAGATATTTCCAAGATTGGTCTGCAAGATTTAAGGTCTAAGCTTGGTATTATTCCTCAGGACCCGACCTTGTTCTTAGGTACCGTAAGGACTAACTTGGATCCCTTGGAACAACATACCGATCAAGAACTTTGGGAGGTTAGCATTTGAATACTTTGATGAAAATGCATTATTGATACGATTTTGGCACGTTCAAAAATAAAAATTCTTTTCAGGTTCTCAGAAAGTGCCATCTTGCTGAAATAGTACAGCAAGATCCAAGACTTCTTGATGCACCAGGTATATGCATTTACCGCTTCTCCACAATCCTGATCAAGATTTTGCGTTTTGTTTTTGATAAAAAACACTGTTATCATTTTATTCACACAAACACATTTGCAGTCGCCGAGAACGGAGAAAATTGGAGTGTTGGACAAAGACAACTAGTTTGCCTTGCTAGGCTGTTACTGAAGAAAAGAAAAATCTTGGTCCTAGACGAGGCAACTGCGTCCATTGACACTGCAACGGATAATTTAATTCAGAAGACTATAAGAGAAGAAACAAGTGGATGCACAGTCATTACAGTAGCACATAGAATTCCTACTGTCATTGACACTGATCTAGTTTTGGTCCTTAATGAAGGTACAAGAGTGCATTGAGTAGATAGCATTTAATTCGGCGTATATGATTATAAACTGATAATGAAACTGATAAACACTATTATTGTGATGTATACAGGGACAATTGCGGAGTATGATAAACCATCTAAATTGCTACAAGACAGTTCTTCTTCGTTCTCGAAGTTGGTTTCGGAATTTTTGAGGAGATCATCACAAAGTAATTGACAAAAGTGATAAGAGAATGAGGATAAACATAAAGGATACCATAGCAGTAACAGATTATCATACATGACATTCTGATTTCACAAGCTTAATTGAGTTTCTAATCTAACTTAGATTTTCCTTTTGAAAGTGTTCCATTCAAAATTGTTGATGTTAGTTAAAATTACACCTCCAAGTTGTTTTATACCATTCTTTTGGAGGTTCAATCTTATATGCCATTCTTTATTCAGTGGATGAAGTTTTTATTATTTTGTTTTCAAGATTGACATTCTTAATGCATATATTTTCTTCTTATAAGATACAAGTCTACATATTTTAATGTTCTCTGAGTACTTGATCTTAATTTCATGTATGTTTTCATCAACTTTATCAATTTGATTTTAATGTGTTTTTTAACTTCTTCTACGAACACAATTTTTATCGATTAAACTTTTTCTCAATAGAAGTGTTGTAACTGTTAAATTGTAATTCGATTTTGTCGAAACAGTGTGTGTCGAAAGGAGGTTGTCCAGTCGAAGAGTTTGTGGATCGAAGCCAGTTACCCACAAATTTGATTGGTTTTAGATTTAGATAGATTTTATTTAGATCTAAAATAGATAGATTTAATTTAGTACCAAAATAGGTATTTTGGGCTTTTATAGTTTTGGGCTTTGGCTAACCTAAATCTATAAATAGAGGGAGTAACCCCTAATTTTGTAATCAAATCAATTTATTGTAATCAGAGAATTTGCAGTTGCAAGTGATTAATAAAGTTTTCCACAGTTTGTGGGCAGAGAGAAACTCTGCAGAAAATAATTGTCTTTTTTCTTTTCTTTTCTCATAATTCATTGTCATTGTGTGGTGATATCAATCTTGTTCATCAAGATTGGTAGAAATTCATCATAGATATTTGGTGGATTTCCAACATCTAGAATGATTGAGGAAGAAGAATTCACGATAGCGAGTTATGGGAATGCCAATTATCCAACAGCTCTACCAATTTTGAAAGTAGACAACTATGAGAATTGGTGCAAACAGATGAAAGTTTTATTCAGGTGTCAAGATCTTTAGGATCTTGTAAAGGATGGATTAGAAGCGCTTGGAGAAAACGCTTCAGAAGAAGAAAAGAAGAAACACAAAGAATCTGAGAAGCTGAGTTATAAAGCACTCTTTATAATTCATCAATGTCTGAGTCCATAAAATTTTAAAAAAGTGAGTGATTCAGAATCTGCAAAAGAAGCTTGGGAGGTTCTCGAGAATTCTTTTGGTGGTGCAGAAAATGTGAAAGAAGTGAGGTTACAAACTCACAAGAGAACGTATGAATTGCTTCAGATGGAAGATAGTGAGAGCATATATGATTTCTTCACTAGAGTTACAAAACTAGTGAATCAAATCAAGGTATATGGAGAAACATTAACAACAAGAGTTGTTGTTTTGAAGATCTTGAGATCTTTGGCTCCTAAGTTCGACCACGTGGTGGTGGCTATAGAAGAGGGGAAAGATTTGTCAAAATTTACAAAGGAAGAGCTTCAAGGGATGCTTGAATCTCATGAACAAAGAATGACTGAAAGAGCTGCATGAAAGTTGAAGAGTGATGTGGCTTTGCAGGCACATTCAGCAAAAAAACCAAAGGCAAAGAAAAGTGGTTCGATAGAGATATAGGCGGCTACAACAAATCGACTGGTAGAGGAAACCAGAACGAAGGAAACGCGAATCAGAGAAGACCATACCAAGGCAACCAAAGAGGTGGTATTACAAATAGAGGAAGAGGTGGTGGTCGAAAACCTGACAAGAGTCACATTCAATGTTACAATTGTCAGAAGTATGGTCACTATTTGAGTGATTGTCCAGAAAAATGAAAGAATCAAGAAAGTGATGCAAAGTTTGCAAAACATGAAGAAGAAGAGATGATGCTGATGGTCACAACAAGAGATGAAGATAGATTCAAGGACCAATGGTACTTGGATTCAGGATGCTCATCACATATGTCTGGAAGGAAAGACTGGTTTGTCAATATAAAGCTCTCAATGAAAAATATGGTAAAATTCGCAAATGACAATACCCTAGCAGCTAAAGGTATTGGTGATGTTATGATTATGATGAAATATGACAAGAGGTCAGTAATTTCCAATGTGTTGTACATACCAGGCATGAAGAGAAATTTTCTCAGTATAGGGCAGTTGGTCGAAAAGAATTATAAAGTATCGATCGAAGATAAGATGATGAGAGTCGTCGACGCAAATGGAAGATAATCTTGAAGGCTCATATGTCTCAGAATAAAACCTTCAAGATCAAACTAAATGTGATGGAGCACAAGTGCCTTTCGACTGAAGCTAGCAGAGATGAATGAATATGGAATTATCGACTAGGCCATCTCAACTTCAGAGACATCAGAGATTTGAAGAGAAGAAATATGGTTTCAGGATTGCTAAAAATCGACATTTCAAACGAGGTATGTGAGGAATGTGTGCAGGCGAAGCAGCACAAGAATAGATTCAGCAAGGATGCAGGAAACAGGTTGAAGGTTATTCTTGAAGTCATATACTCTGATGTATGTGGACCAATCCAGGTGGATTCAATGGGAGGTAACAAATACTTTGTTACATTCATAGATGATTTCAGTCGAAGGTTGTGGACTTACCTGATCAAGAAGAAAAGTGACGTGATCGAGGTATTTGCCAAGTTTAAGTATATGGTCGAAAGACAAAGTGGTCGAAAACTCAAAGTTTTGAGAACTGATGGTGGTGAAGAGTATGTGTCAAAAGACTTCAACAAGTTATGTGAAAAGGAAGGGATTATGCATGAGGTGGTGCCACCCTATACTCCACAACATAATAGAACTGCAGAAAGGAAGAATCGAACCATCATGAATATGGTGAGAAGTATGTTGAAAGGCAAGAATTTACCTAAAGAATTTTAGGGTGAAGTTGTGTCAACTGTAACATATATTTTGAACAGATGTCCTAAGAAGAAGCTAGAAGGAATTACTCTAGAAGAATGTTGGTCTGGTGTGAAGCCTAGCTTGAGTCATCTGAAGGTATTTTGATCTATTGCACATAGACATGTGTCAGATCAGTTGAGAAGAAAACTTGATGACAAGTCGAGTCAAATGATTCTAGTTGGATATCATTCGATAAGAGGTTACAAGTTGTTTGACCGAGTGAACAAGTAGATTGTGATCAGCAGGGACGTGATCATAGATGAGCTTAAAGAATGAGATTTGACTGAAAATGTCAAGAAAGATTCAGTGAAAATCCTACTTGAAGAACCAGAAACCCAAGTCAAAAGAGAAGTTCGACAAGAGGAACCGGCAGTTATAGATCAACCAAGTATAAGCAGACCTCAAAGAATAAGACGCATGTCTGCAAGATTTCAAGATTGTGTGATTACATCAGATGATGTGATAGATAATGAAGGTGAGTTGGTACATTATGCTTTCTATGCAGATGTCGAACCTATCAATGCAGCTGAAGCATTGAAGGATTCGAAGTGGATAAAAGCAACAAAAGAAGAAGTGTAGTCTATCGAAGACAACAACACTTGGTCACTTGTCGAATTGCCTCAAGGTAAGAAGGCAATTGATGTCAAGTGGGTATACAAAGTGAAAATGAATTCCAAATGGGAAGTAACTCGACACAAAGCAAGGCTTGTGGCGAAAGGATTTCTACAGAAAGAAGGCATAGACTTCAATAAAGTTTTTGCACCTGTTGCTAGGATCGAAACAATCAAGTTAGTTGTTGGTCTTGCAGAAATAAATAGTTGTCACATATGTCAGATGGACGTGAAGTGTGCATTCTTAAATGGACCCTTAGACTAAGAAATTTATGTTAAACAACCAATTGGATTTGTGAAACATGACGAAGAGAGAAAGGTATATAGGCTGCATAAAGTCCTATATGGATTGAAACAAGCTCCAAGAGGTTGGAATAAGAAAATTGATAGTTTCCTAAGGGAGAAGGAATTTGTGAAGTGCACAACTGAATATGGAGTATATGTAAGAAAAAGCAATAGTGAATTGCTTATACTATGTCTCTATGTCGATGATTTGTTGATAACAGGTAGCTGCAAAAGTGAGATCGAAGACTTCAAAGGTGATCTCAATAAGGAATTTGAAATGTCTAATCTGGATGAGATTTCATATTTCCTTGGCATCAAATTCTACAAGAGCAGTAGAGGTTTGATGATGCATCAAAGAAGATATGCAGGAGAAATTCTCAAGAGATTTGAGATGGAAGAATACAACTCAACTTTGACACCTGCAGAACCAAGACTGCAACTGTCGAAAGATGCAGATGAAGATGATGTCGGCACAACCCAATACAGAAGACTTATTGGGCCATTGAGATACCTTTGTCATACGAGGCATGACTTAACATATAGTGTAGGTATGGTAAGTAGATTCATGTAGAAGCCAAAGTTATCACATCTAGCAGCGGTGAAGAGGATACTAAGGCATCTCAAAGGAACTCTCGACTATGGCATTTTGTTTCCTGCATCTGATAAAGGAAAATAATGCTAGTGGGATATACTGATTCGAGTTGGTGTAGTGATGTTGAAGATCGAAAATCAACAGCAGGATATGTGTTTATGTTAGGTGGTGCAACTGTTGCTTGAAGTTCAAGAAAGGAACCAATAGTAACATTATCATCATGCGAAGCAGAATACATAGCTGCTTCTCTCTGTGTATGTCAAGCAACTTGGATGGTGAACTTGGTCGAAGAGATAACAGGGAAAAATCGTGGAGCAATTACCATGAAGATCGACAACATGTCAGCTATCAATCTGGCGAAGAACTCGATAACACATGGTCGAAGCAAGCATATCGAAATGAGGTTCCACTATCTTCGAGAGCAGGTAGTAGACGGAAAGATAAATTTGGTTCACTGTGGAACTGAGAATCAGATTGCAGACATCATGACGAAGGGAGTGCAGGTTGAAGTATTTAGAAGACTAAGAACCGTGATAATATAGATAGTTTAGACACAATGAATTAGGTGGTGTGTTAAATTATAATTTGATTGTGT